ATATTTATAAACATGTATATTGTAGATTTCAGATATTTTAAAATTTTATAGCAGTTGTACATACTCGTGAATTGATACGCGAGCTTATCAAAACAATCTTGTTCCCCGAAGAAGTTTGGCGAGTTGCCTCACGAAATATCGGAAATAAAAACTTTATGATCCAAAATAGGCATTTTTAAATATATATATATATATATAAACTGATATTACATTGATATTTGGTACTATTTTATGAATATAGATTAGAAACAAAATGACAAGACCAAATCCAGAATTTGAAAAGTGTTTGTGACGCTCCGATAAAAGTATTGTTACGTATTCAGTACTTTTTTTTATCTTGATGGTAATAATAATGTCACACGTATTTTATAAAATTCATATTTGTTCTTGTTATTTGACTTCTATATTACATTATTTTTTTATACCAATTAGTGTTTATAAACTATACCTCAATCTACATCACACTATTCTATATACAGTTACGAGCGTCATGCGTTCTTAATAATTTTTCATCTCTGTCACCGTTTGCTTTTTTTTTTTTTGGAATGGCGCTCTCCTATTGGTTGGCTACGATCACGCCTTTTATAGTAACTCTCCCAGCTTATCAGATATCTTAAGAAACCCGATAACAAAAAACAGGCAAACCGAATACATATCATGTAGAAAAGAGGTAATTTATTCTATATAATGCAATAACTGTAATGCCAGATATGTGGGGGAGACGGAAAGAAAATTACATAATAGAATCATTGAACACAGAAGAAACATAAACAGAAATGACCCTTTATCATTAATAGTACAGCACTCCAATTCAACAGGACACACATCCAACTTAAATGAACCTAAAGCACATTACAACAATATCAGTAACAAATATCAAAGATTAATAATTGAAGCAATAGTGTACAAACAATACAATAGTATAAATAGCAGAATTGATTTACCAGAAGCATATAATTCAATAGACTTAAATAAAATAAGATAAAACAAATTCATTCATAGTATAAGATATCACATGTCTAATGGGATTCCTTGCAAGTTGTAAAATTTGTAAAAAATTGTATATAAAATACAAAATAAGTTTGCTTTAATCAAAATGTATCATATTACCTCATATAAATTATAATTAGTTTTTCCAAATCATTACACCTGCATGTAAATTTAAACATTTTAATATTTTTCTAATTAAGCAGATATGCAAAACAATAGCTACGTGTATATAAATTCTATTTTCAAACTAGTTGGATTATTTATTTTATTAATTCCTGTAGAAGGGCGTATGTGCCCGAAAGCTCGTAATATAGTCGTTCTAATAAAGATACGCAGCCCTTGATGCTTTATTTTATTCATTTATAAATTGTACGGGGTTTTTCAATCGACAATTATAATTTATATTGATGTCGTTAGGTCCTCAGGTCCTTGGGGATATTGTTCTTGAGAAGGTTTTGTCTGGCTTTTTTTGATATTCAAGGTGGGTTTGTTTTTCCTTTTTTTCCACTTTACGTCATTCTGGCTTAATTGATGGAGAATTTGTTTAGGTTTTGAATTTATTATTTTCCTTTTTCCGCATTTGTAGTTTGTGGCTTCCTTGAAGGTGAGATGTGTATTCGTTTATCCATATTTATTCATGTGAAAAAAATATATAAAATATAAAAATGTCAGGTGTTGATATTAACAACAACATTAACATATCCTGACCGTTCAATTGAGCATTTTTAGATTACACTGAACGCCATCTAGTAGAACAAAAATTTACTATACGTTGATTTAGGGTAGTTCCCTGATATTTGGCCAACCCATTTTCTTAATAAATCAAGAGAAGTCATCCATGAACGCGTTTCGGGCTGTTCACCCTCGTCAGCGTGGTTCAGGCTGTAATTCAAATACCAAAATTTTGGTCCAAGAGGCTTCCTGAGACATCAAGACATGGGTATTCTATGGGAATAAATTTGGCATTGAATATATCCTCATTACCCATCTGTGTTTCGGTTTAGAATTCCTTTGAGTTTAAAAAACTGATTTCTATTAGCTTTTGGATCCTTTTTTTCTTGAGACCTGAAGATGCCACCTTGTCATCGTAACTCTAATACGAACCGTCATCTTCTTGAAGAGAAATCCTTGGTTCAGTTTAATAACTGTACAATCTTGGAGTTCAATGAAATAATTCTTAATATCAATCATTATGGTGAAATTATTAGGCTTCCAAGGATTAAGAAAAAGGCATCTCCTTATCGTGCAACTGAAAGTTGCTGATGGCTTGCGCCATCTATCGGAATAAATATAAACTATTCTCGTTGATTTTTAATTATTCCAGAAATGGCCAAATACCCATTCTTGAGTAATCAAGAAAAGCTAACCACGGACGCGTTTCGGGTATTGACCCTCATCAGCGTGGTGCAACCTATACCTTAACGACCAAAAAAGTGGTCATTCAGGCATCCTGAAAAATCAAGTTCCAAGAATTAGTTTCTTTCTTTTCTTTTTTTTTTTTTTTGGGAAGCCTAGGGATTTTACATCAATAATCTTGTATTTATTCATGGTAAAATGTAGCATACAACGTCAATTACCTCAAGTTAACTCAGCAGTCTTCAGTTCTACTCACTATCCCCTACTTAACATATTGTCGCGGAGATAAATAAAGCAAGGGCAAATTTGGGAATAATTAATTTATTATAAAGGTGGGTATTTACCTTTTAGTTCTCCAATAAAAATATATACAAGAGGTATTTATAGGGAGAACAACTTATCTCAAGGTAAAAATAATAATAATAAGAGTTATCAGCCACCGTCTCGTTTTCCTTATTTGCCGATAAGATTCCGAGAACCCCTCACACCTGTGGTCGTCCCCCAGAGTCCAGTCATGATTTACAGATGTCCCATGGAGCTCTCTGTGGCTGTGGTTGCAGAGCTACTTGACTATATTCATTAAAATATAATGTAGAGATGAAGGAGGACTCACGTCAGCATGATAAAATGGTTTTACCTTCATAAAACATCCAAAACTTATTTACCTAAATAGAGAGAGAGATTGAGATTGAAACTATTTTATTTCAAAGTTCATATAAGATTATATAAGGTTAAATACAGAATAAATATAAATATGAATAAATAAGATTATATAATGATAAATATAGATAAATAAATGTGAAGTATATAATTGATAGATATACATATTTATAAGAATATATACATGGTCTTCATTGATGGTGCCCACCGCGGGAAAGACTCCGCCACCGGTGGACTGCGAGAGTTCTTTCCCACAGAGTGGGCAGGTCGAGGTGATGGCTGGTGATACCCAACTCAAGACCAAGATGGTACTTGTAGATGGTAGCTTTCGCCACGCTAGTCAATTTCATTCCCTAGGGATGGAGACCGACGCCGAAGAGCCAGGCAAATCGCAGGAAGCGAACACCTCCCGGAGCAGGGGTCGAGAGAGAGAGAGAGAGAGAGAGAAACTATGAAGGGAAAAAAGCAGGTGCAATAATGATAGTAAATTTATTATTCAAATTAAATATCCTGTTACAATATTAAAAATACGACTAAAATGTTTTCTTATGCAAAAATGTATGTCAAATGCCTTCTGGCTTTTTATAATTTGCTCCAAGTTTAGAGATAAGAGGTTGACTCTAAGAATGTCTGAAATAAATTCACTCTATTCAATTCCAGAAATATCTTCAGTAACTTCTACCTTGCATGCCTCCAGGGCAAGTTTTTCAATACTCGGCACTATGTAAATATATCTCTCCTCTCAATAAACATTTTATGCAAATTGAAATATGCCGGTTTTTTTTTTTAAAACTACACTCGATGTTTTTAATGTGAAATGTTTTTCGTCCAAGACTTAGTCTTCAATTTATTGTATTTTTCCTTGTTAATAAAACAATTAATAGTTTTTTTCCCATTTTTTTTAAAACACTTGAAATCCTTACCAAGAGGACAATCATAGCATATTTTTATTCCAAAAAGAAAATATGTATTTAGGACCAATATTGAATGAAATTAAAGCATTTAGGCATGAATGTTTCTTATATGTAATTCTATTATCGTAAAATCTCTTATATCCATAGTTTTCTTAAATACCATTTCTGAGATTCCACGCCTTTAGTGATCATATATAGGTTTTTTATATTTTGTATTTTTTCGTGCATAAAATTTTATCATCGCAGTAAGGACAGTAGAAGTTTGTTTGTGAAGGGAGACATTCGCGTCTTGATGTCTTCATTCATTATATATAGATGGCGCCTACGGCCATACCACATTCAAAACACCGGTTCTCGTCCGATCACCGAAGTTAAGCAATGTCGGGCCCGGTCAGTACTTGGGAGGGTGACCACCTGGGAACACCGGGTGCTGTAGGCTATATATAGATGGCGCGTTATTGATTTGTATTAATAATCTTATTATAAAGCAATAATGTGACATATATATATAAGAAATGAAAGCATTTAAACACGAATGCTTTTTTACACATAAAAAAACTTCTACTGTCCTTACTGCGATCAAAAAAAATATATTGGAATGGCTTGATTCATCAGTGGTGAACCCTCTCAGCGGTTTGGCCATATTATTCTACCAAACCGCTTCTTATAACTCTAATACTGTATTGAACTATTCTGCTTATATATGCTACACTTAAGGGTGGAATCTCAGAAATGGTATTTAAGAAAACTATGGACATAAGCTTTTGGGACAGTAGAATTACATATAGGAAACATTCGTTCTTGAATGCTTTAATTTCATTCAATTTTGGTCTTAAATACATATTTTCTTTTTGGAATAAAAAGATGCCATGATGATCCTCTTGGTAAGGATTTCATTGTACAGCCTGCATTCAACTGATGAAAGTCAGAAGCCCGTAACGCGTAAGTAGTTGCATTTTCTTGATAATATTCAAGAAAGAGTATTATGACATTTGAAAATTATCCCGCAAATGTTTCTTTTGAACGAACAATCAGAATTTTATTTTAAGGATTATATTATTTTTACAAACGGAAAAATATGTCTAGGGTAACCTAGTGGGCATGGTATCTGCCCAATTAGCGTAACACTGTGGGTTCGATTCCCATCCCTGGACACTTCATTTTTTCCGTTTATCATTACTCTTCACAATTCATCCTTTCATACTTCATCCCTAAGGTTAGAAATAATCGTTATTTCTCCTTAAAATAAAATTTCGATTTTTCGTTCAAAAGAAACACATGCGGTATAATTGTTACATGTCGTTCTACAATCATAAGCCGCGTTATATTGTATTATGAAGAGTATTATCCACAACTCTTTAATAAAATAAATCAATTTTACCCGATAGATGGCAGTGAGTCATCAACAATTTTCATCTAACACGATCAGGAAGTGTACCTTTACATTACATAGTAACTAAAATATATAAAATTTTGTAATATGATCCATTAGAGTGTCATCTTTTGTGAGAATTCGAAACTATTATAGACGCGTATGTGTTTTTAAATAATAAACAATTATCTACTGTCCTTACATTGCAATAAAAAATAATAATGGGAGGGCCTGGCTCATCAATGGTGAACCCTCCCAGCGGTTTCGCCAGTTTAATCAACAACAACAACAACAAAAGCCTTTATTTAGGACATTCCGCCCCATATAGGATTCGCCGTATTTACACGTCAACAAAAGGAGAGGGAAGAGGAAACATTTACAACAAAATAAAGTTTGTGTCACATCCAGTTACCTATTTACAGATAGATCATCCTCCAGTATCCTTTGCCCTGCATTCTTTCTCATGCGCCCAGCTTCTGTGCAGAACTTAAAGTATCCAACAATTAGTAATTCATCATCCAGAGCTGAAGAGAGAAGTTGACATATGCGATGGTATCTAAATTGACCAGAGTTAGGGCTTGGGAAAATTTCAGTACGTTTTTCTGTTCGCCAGTTTAATCTATTGTTTAATTTTTAAAAGAGTCATACACACACGCACACAAAAGCCTTTATTAGGGACATGCCCCATACAGATTCTCCCAATTGGGTAAAGTAATAATCATCTTGTGTTATTTACATAGAAATTGAACTGGCTTTACTCTTCGTCTCAAAGTCATTCACTTGTTGACTGGTCCTTACATAATGATGATCTAAAAATGTATAGTAAGCTATTGCCTTAGATTTGTTTGCTGATATTTTTGAAAGCAATTAAAAGAATCATTGGCGTCTAAAATAGTCTCAATTTATCACAAAATTTGTATTAAAGAAGATTATTATGAATCCATATATTGGAAAAATATTGATAATATATTGGGAAACATTTGCAAAGGTATCCCTTTTTAGAAATCTAGAGCGGTGGGAAGTTATGGTAATAAAAATGACAGGTAGAAAATCTAAGAGAAAAATCTTTCCTTGAAAATGTTTTGTGAAATTTCCTAAACGATAAGAAGATTTGGACTTTTTCTATCTTCCTGAAGTAACTCCATTCTGAGCTCTTTGAGAAAAGAGGATTATTTCTTAGCAAGATTTTCCAAATAATTTGAGAAATGGTGAACACACTTCAAATAACAAATAAACTATATATAAACAACGTCCATTTTATAATTTATTATGGAAAGCACATGTACTCCTAATCAGGATATGCCTTTTTTATTTTTAATATCAACACCTGACCTTTTTATTTTTTCTATTGATTTTTCACATGTTAAGCGTATTTACGGCAAGTTTGGCCCTAAATAACAATTTATTGGTTTCTCAAGAAGCCTCTGGAACAAAAAACATTTTTTTGGTCGCAGTGGTTCAGCCTACTCCACGCTGACGAGCGCCAAAAGCGCGAAACGCGTTCGTGGATGGCTTTTCTTGATTTATCAAGAAATTGGGTTGGCCAACTATCAGGGAACAGGCTAAATCAATGTTTAGTTGATTTCTGTTCCACCAGATGGCGCTCTGCCTTCTGAAAATCACATGTGCTCCTGGTCAGGATATGCCTTGCTCATCAGTGGTGAACCCTACCATTATTTTATCATTGCAGTAAGGACAGTAGAAAATTATTTAATTTTAAAAAGAAACACACGTCAAAAATAGTTTGTATTTATTAAAACAGATGGCGCGCTAAAGCATCATGTTGATATATATACATATATATATGGTAATTTAAACCAACAACCCTATATTGTATATAACTTATAACAATATTTTCATGTTGTATAATAGAAAAACATCTGTAAATGATTATACGCATTATTGACATGTGTCATTACATCATCATATGTAATGTACTTTGTACAAACTGAGGATAAATAAATAAAACTCTGTAATAGATTAAGAGTTGAGCTAAAGCAGAGATCGAGATGTAGCAGTTACAAAAAAACAGGGTCTAAAGATGGAAACTGCCACGGCGCCAGTGTACAATTTCACCAGACGATCCACGCCCCTGTCGCATCTGTTAAAATGCAATACTCCCTTTTTCAGAAAAGGTATATAAAGCCTCCGTCTCAGCCAAAAATACAGTCACTTGACAGTTACTTCACCATCTGCGTGAGCCCTCGTCGGTTGTACCCCAGGTCCACCTCATCCACCATGTAGTCAGTAAGAACTCTTCTATCTCCATCTTTCGCTCCTAGCTCAACTTTTATCTGTTCACGGAACTTTCTTAGTGCAACTGTGTCTTCGTTTTTTGTATGGACATTCCCAAGCTTTCCACTCTGCCTCGACCACGACTGCCTGTACTTTGTGAGAACTGTAAAAGGTCTTCCAAGGTGCAGAGAGGTACTGGAAAACTCCTTATCCTGACTGTTCCTCTCGGTCAACACAGTATAGCGAGAGTTGACAGGGACTCGCACCATTGATTAAGTCGACTGGATACCTCACTACAGTTTTAGTCGACAGGATTCTACAAGAGGCTACAGTAACTTATCATATATATATGTTATGCATATTTTGTTTTGATGTTAAAAAAAGATAGAGAATTGATGATGCAGTCGTGAAAAAGGAAATATAATTATTTACCCATCAAGTAGTTTTTATTTTGAACCACTTGAAGCAAATTATATATAAAATTATTTTTCACAGTAATATATAATTTATTAAATGAATCCCCCCCCCCCTATATTCGTGAATCAAAAAAATAGATAGGTCAACTATACATTTTTACAACAATTATCAAAGTGTTATGTTCTAAATCTATGGTCAAAATGTAGAACCGTCAACGATGAAAATAAAATGTTTTAAAAAAATAAAATATTCACATTTTAGATTATTTTGAAAATAGAGCAATCCATAAATAAATCTTTAATTAAAAAGGCATATATTGGATCAAAATATCATTTATTTTACCAATATTTCAGTTGGCTGAACGCCAACCTTTATCAAGGTGTTATAACATTTTAAAGTGTGTCAACAACAAACTCAACGCCACATAACGTCAACAGAATTAAGTTTTAAAAAATTAGAAATTTACAAAATTTTTTTGTCCATAATACAAATATATTTGTATAAATTTTTCTCCCCATTGAAAATAACAAAATATTTTTTAAAACTTAATTCTGTTGACGTTATGTGGCGCTAAGTGTGTTGCTGACACACTTTAAAATGTTATAACACCTTGATAAAGGTCGGCGTTCAGCCAACTGAAATATTGGTTAAATAAATGATATTTTGATCCAATATATGCCTTTTTAATTAAAGATTTTTTAGATTATATATATATATATATATATATAGATTAATGACCCATTTCATGATGAAAATGACATTTCATAAAGTTTAAATACTTAAAAAATATATAACAGGATAATAATTGATTTCTGTATCAGGTAGGTAGGTATAGAGATTTGAATTAAAATTTTGAGAATGAAATTTATCCCTGGAAGAGATACTGATGCTTTTCAACCTTAATATTGATATAAGAAGATTAATTTATTAATTTGTAATCCTATAACACGTTTACCTTTTATCAATTTCTATATAAACCTTTCAGCTTTCCTTCGAAATAAAGAAGAAAACAAGTTATAATGGATATCGTGAAGATAGAGGCTGCCTGGCCGGCATTCATATTTCTTGAAAAAAGATACTTCGGCCAGTATAAATCTTTTTATTACCTCGACGTTTCGACAAAAAGCTTTTGTCCTCGTCAGGAGCAAACAAAAATTAAAACATATAGCAAGGCGTTAAAAATTATTCTAAGGCTCTAAGGGCGTTCTCACGCGATATTCGAAATTTTGTACAACATCCAAAGCACGAGTCAAAAATAAATATTTAACTCACAAAGACTACGATCTTTGAAATAAAATTATGATATACATATTTATATATATTAAGAAATTATAAACAAAAAAAAAAAAAAAAATAATAATAATAACATTTAAAAGATTTCACAATAGTATATATTAATCGATATCTATTATGTACAATTTATACTTACCCTTTATAACTACTTTTTTAAATTTAAAAACAAATTGTATTGTAGCGGAATATCTTCATATACATTTAAAGTTCTTTTCCCCATTTCCCGTGATACCCACCCCTCTAAAAAGAATCTTTCTTTTTAAATTTTATATTCCTATGAAATATCTCAATATCATTCCAATCTGGCCTATGTCCTGAATATAATGCATGTTCCCCAATTTTGCTTAACGCCCTTCTCCCCATTAAACCCTGTTGGTGTTCTTTAATCCTAGTCTCTAAATTACGGCCTGTTTCTCCCACATAAATTTTGTCACATTGTGTGCATTTAATTCCATAAATTACATTATTTGGTTTTAATGTGCCTATGTTATCCTTCATTATTCTATTTCTAGTTAAAAATTCCCTTTTTGTCCCCGTACTATACCAAATATTATATTTAAAATTTCTCAAAATTCTAGATATTTCGTTATCTATATCTCTCAAATATGGAATAATTATATTGTTGCAATCATCTTTATTCCTATTTGAATTTGGCCTATCTATTTCATATCTTCTAATCCATTTGTTTGTGAAACCAACTGGATAATCAGATTGTTCTAGTTCTGCTCGAATTTTCATTATCTCTTTTTTTTTTATAAATATCTCGGTCTGTGCATACTTGTTTGGCTCTTTGTACAAGATATTTTATCACCTGTCTTTTATGTATCATAGGATTATT